ACATTTTTCATTTAGGAATGGATATTATTGAAATCCCCTGTGAAATGATTTGTAATGGATCTATTATTGAAGCTACCTTTGGAAATACTGTATATATAGATAATATTAAAAATATATCTAAATGTGCAATTCTTTGTCCAAAAAATGAGCATGTTCAAAAATTAAATGAAGAAATTTTGGATATACTCAATGGAGATTTTCACACATATTTGAGTGATGATTCCATTGATTCCACAGTTGATGCTGAAAAGGAAAATTTTCCCATCGAATTTCTTAATAGTATTACTCCTTTGGGAATGCCGTGTCATAAATTAAAATTGAAAGTGGGTGCAATCATCATGCTATTGAAAATCTTAATAGTAAATGGGGTCTTTGTAATGGTACCAGATTTATTATCAAAAGATTACGACCTAACATTATTGAAGCTGAAGTATTAACAGGATCTGCAGAGGGAGAGGTTGTTCTGATTCCAAGAATTAATTTGTCCCCATCTGACACTGACCTCCCATTTAAATTGATTCAACGATGGTTTCCCATGATGCCAGCATTTGTGATGACTATTAATAAATCACAAGGACAAACTCTAGACAGAGTAGAAACATTCCTATCTGAACCCGTTTTCACACATGATCAATTATATGTTGTTTTCTCTCGAGTTTGAAGAGCATGTGACGTTACAGTTAAAGTTCTAAATACTTCATCCAAGGGAAATTAGTCAAGCACTCTGAAAGTGTTTTCACTCTTAATGTGGTGTACAGGGAGATATTAGAAAAAGTGTAATCACTTTATCAGTCATTGTTTGCATCACTGTTGTTTTTATATCATGTTTTTGTTGTTTTTATATCATGTTTTTGTTGTTTTCATATCATGTTTTTGTCGTTTTTATAACATGCCTCTGTTGTTATATCCTTTTGTTACTGTTTATTTATTAATAAATTTATATATTATTTTCATATACATTTTACTAATTTCCTTTCATCTCTCACACTTCTATGATAGAGAAAGGGCAAATAGCAACATTAAAATATCTCCGCTAATTAATTCCCTTTTAATGTGCACGAATTTGTGCACCGGGCTACTAGTCTTAAATAGCCATGTATTCAAATTATGTATTTTATAGTCTGAGAAAATAGTATGCAATTTCTTTAGAATTTTTAAAAGATCACATTTTAAAGAAACTTCTCTTTTTAACAAATTTTGGTAACTTTTAAAGGATTCAATCAACAACTTTCCATCTTAAACTACTGTTGCCAGCATTCTCATAACTCCTAAACTCTGGTTTTCCAATACAGTAAGACTCTCCTTTGCTAAAACAGCTGGAGGCTTGCATTACACACTTACACACACACACACACACACACACACACACACACACACACCCCTACTTGTGGAAAATCCAAGCTATTTAAACACCATAAGCACACGGACTTTCAAAAATGTTTTAAAATGCAGGAATAGAGATCATACCTTAAGGAACAGAAGATACTGGACATTTTCAGATTAATCTAATATATAGTAATGTATCAAATGGAACTCAGTTCCTTGGAGTGCTCTGGACACTGGGATAGGTTCTTGAGAACCTTAGGACCATTCCATGTATAACATCAAAATTTACTAAAGCAAATGAACACATTTCAGAAAAGAAACCTATGGAAAAAAATTTAAGTAGCTTTTAAAATTCATTGATTGATTTTAGAGAGGAAGGGACAAGGAGAGAGAAATAGAAACATCAATGATGATCAGCTGCCTCCTGCACATCCCTCACTGGGGAATGAGCCCCCAACCCGGGCATGTGCTCTGACTGGGAATGGAACCTGACAGACCGGTTCATAGGTCGATGCTCAACCACTGAGTCATGCCAGCCGGGCAAGTATCTTTTTTAAAAACCTTGAAGCATCACCTAAAATATTGAACTATTATTGTACAGTAAATTGATATTAATGCTTGAATCACCACAAAGCCTTATTACTTAAGTTGGTCATTAGACCATCGGGATTAGCATCTAAAGACAATTCAAAATTCTATGATACACTTAGAATAGTTTTCAAACAATTTAATGCCAAATATTTGTTTATATAAGTAATACTTTAAATCTGAGACTTCAGGGTAAAACTATAAAACAGAGGCAATATTATATTTAATAATATTTACCTGAATATCTTTCTACTTTTAAGATAACAACTATGAAAAAAAGTCATTTTAATATGTGGATTACTTAAAAATTAGAATTTGAAAATAAAAGATTAAGCTTTTAATCAAATAACTTAAGGGTAATTCAATTATATACCTCACATTAAAATCTATAATAAAAATAATCACAATTTGACCTATCCTACCTTTTATTAAACTATTTATGTTATATAAAGATTCGATCTTAAGTAAAGGTGTTATTATTTTGAAAAGATATCCAAGAGAATTATTGCTTTCTAAATAAAATGTTACCTACTAAAAATAACATGATATAAATGAATCTAGACTCTTAAACAACTTGCTTTGAATATCATGTTGAAGTCTATTTTTCCATAGTAGAGAACATAGACACAAGCTATCAAATACCTACAAAAATGGATGCTGTTATGTTGAGAGAAAAGGTAGAGAGAGAGATAAAACAAATGAATTTTTTCATTCAACTTTATTTATCCACAGTTTGCATCGGTATTATACATTTAGGGTTCCATTTACTTTAAATGCATCAGAAAAAATCAATCATGATAGATCTGTGACCAATACAAACATTTCTGAATTCTTCAAAAAATTCCGTTAGAAAAGTCAATAAACTAGTATTCTGTAAAGATAACTATTAAACAAATGGTAATGCATTTTCACTCTTTATTTCAATTCTAACTTATCCAACATCACTTCTTTCTTGTGCCATACAGTAATAAAATTTAGCAGAAGTAGCTATGTACTGCATTTTTAGGGCCTAATAAAATATTTGTTTGATTATTTAACCCTCTTCAAATCACATATCCAATTCAAATAATGATAATCATTCTCAATTCAAAACTGATGAAGTAAATATATAATGACCATAAAAAATTTACAATTATTCAAAAGCTACTAAAAAAAATACATCAGAGCCTTGATACAATGTGTCCTTGGGTACTAGGCTGTGAAACTGCCTTAGAGGTGGTGCTGCCTTTTGGCACTATAGTAAATAAACTTCCATGGAATGGACTTCAATGGACCCATTCTATGTGGAATTTTGCTTTGTAGTAAAAAATGCTACAGTGGGGTTCTAGGGTAGTTTCTCTTTAAAGCAAAAATTAATTGACACATAAGTGAAATGCAATAAGGACATGGCCTATAATTTCAATGACAATGAAACAGGAAAATACTTATAAAACAATTAAAATCTAGATTGCTTAATAAGAAGAATCCTATAGCATAACTATGAAAGCAGTATGAATGATTGCTTTAGCTTTTAATGGTCATTTTCTTTGTAGCATTATCAAATTTATACAATAAAAACTAACAACTGAAGCATTCATTTGTCATTTTTTACCTTTATTACTCAAGTTTTCACTAGGGAGATTATGTTAATGAAGGTTTTTTTTTAGATCCAACTGAAAGTAGCAACTAATTTAATTTTAAACCATACAATCATAGGAACCTTTAAATTATTTAAACGCTTCAATTTGACACTTGGGGAATGTAAAAAACACATCTATGTGCTAAAGCTAAATTTTAATTATATGGCTTCATGCCAACTGATTCAAAATATTAGAGTTGTTTCTAAATCAGCCCTTATTAAACCATTTGGCACAATAGTTTTTGTCTTTTCTATATACCCTCTGAAACACCCAGGCCAACATTTTTAATAAGTTGCATACATTTTAGGAGGTAACAAGTGCAAATAATCACATATTTAAGATATGATACTTGCTTGGCTACTATAAAAGTAATTATACTAAAGGTTCTTCTATAGGAAACAGTTATTCATCACAGTAATGTTTTTGAAAAATTCCTGCACTACTACCAACGTAAATTTATCCAACTCAAAATTAAACAAAGACTTTATGTAACAGTATACTCATGAAAATATTCATGGAATGGTCTGTGTTTATTCAACATCATGTTAGTTGAGGATCATAACATTTAGAGGATCCACATATGGCCAGATTTTGAATATAAACCTATTCCTCAATTGTTGCTCTCTGATTCTGAATATAACTAAAAGCAGCACACTGATGTAATGTTCTTGAAAGTCAAGATATAAACCCAAACTTTGGCAGTTTTATAAAAATGTACTTGGTAATTAGTACTTTGCTAGTTCTCAAAAAGCTTACTGCTTTGTGTAACATTTTCAATACAGAAATAAAATACTCTTCAAACAATACATTTTAAAAGATGATTAAGTTTTGCAAAATTAAATAGCATAAATTAAGCATATTAATATTGCTTTTTGACAACATGAAATAACCAATTTAAGGAAAATTGCAATGGACTAAATAAAAAACACAAATATCACAATGTGAGGCACATTTAAATCCTCACATATTACTGACACTACAAAATCTACTAAAATATTTTAAAGTTTCACTGATTCCATTAATACATAAAAAGAAATTGCAAAAATGTTTAAGACTATAAAAGAGTCATCAATTACACAGGCACTTCACATGTAAACAATCTACAGTACAACTGAAAGTATTTTGGCAACAACCTATAATACTAAAAGAATTTAATATAAAGTCGTAATTCTGTATTCTCTACTCATTTTTTTCTAGAAAACTAAGACCAAAGATGAAAGAAATTGTATATAAACTAGAATTAGAAGTGTATTAAATAACTCAAATGTAGAATTGCTTAAATCGGTAAAAAAAAAATATTACCTTATCCAGACGTTAACTGGTATGTATGCTACATTAAAAAAGTAAACCTAATGGAATTGTTAAATTGAAATCGTATTTTAAATTTAGCATCAATTTGATTTTTTAATTTAACAAAAATTTTTAAACTAAGGCTTGATCTAATAAATTTTTAATTAGACAGTCTTATTCATGAATTTGAGATATTTGAAATAACTTCAAATAAATGAAATTTTACACTTATGACTTTTAAATGTTATATTAAGCCATAGAAAGCTGAGATGCCTTGGTTGTAGGTAATTCAAGAAGAGCCTGAACTGTGACACCAACTTTCACAAGACCTCTTTCTTCCAAAATATGATGAGGCAAACAGAGTCTTTCCTGAAAAACAAAATAAGTGGTATCTGAACATTTGTTTTTAAATAGTGCAGTAGAGCCTAGATTAGTCAAAATTGGATTTTTAAAACATGCTTTCTATAAAACTTCAAGCACAGAGCACACAATTCTAATCTAAAATATCTGTGTTTAAAAGTAGACTTTTATGGTATGGGATTATATTTTATGGGCTGTATTTGACCTGTTAATCTTATCCACCTGAACAAGTATTTTAAAGTGAGATGATCATGCTAAAATGTTTCCTAAGCTCTTGTGCTGGAGTAGAAAGAACACTACATTTCCAGCCAGGAGACGGGCCACATAATCTGAAGTATTAAAATTTCTTGAGATTCAGTTTCTTTATCCTGAAGATCGAACTGTGTGAGAAACAGAACAGTCAGTATGTGGAGGCACTCTGTAAACTGTTCAGTCCTGTACAAAATTGGTCACTCTGGTTCTACCAGTTCTGAGGTTCCATGGTATCTGATATATATAGCACTTCAGTACTTTTCTTGGCTTAAGGGTACTTCCCTCCAGCTTCTAGTGATGCTGTGCTGCTTCTTAGTTGCAATAGTCTAGAATTTGAAAAATAACAACTGCCTCCTCTTCTAAGCGCATCATATGTGTCATTTGATCTTCACAACTCTATAAGAAGTTTAGAGACAACTTTGTATTAGGTTTCATTAGCCTTCATTGATCCTCTTCTAACATCCTAAGGTTTTCCAAGGGTTCTGTGTTCACCCTCTTCTCATTTTATACTATATCCTCTCCATGGTATTGCCAAAGCATTATCAAAACTACAGGGATTAACTGGTTTATATGTACGTGTACAACATCAAATAAATTTGGTAGCTATTTTTGAAAAAACAATGCAGTCCACTGCTTCAGTTGGGACACCATTCACCTCAGGAAAACAAGTGAGTAATGAACAGAATGAGTGGCAGACAGACCAGCTATGGGCCCCATCTAGTTCATAACTGTGTTTTAGTTGGGTGGGACAGTGTTTTACAAACCTGCAAACACATTTTTAAAAAAAATCTTTATTGTTGAGAGTATTACAGATGTCACCCTTCCCCACCCCCCCCATTATACCTCTCCATCCAGTTTTCACCCCACCCAGGCCTTCCCCACCCTATTGTCTCTGTCCACAGGTAATATGTATATAAGATATTAGAGGCCCAGTGCACAAAATTTGTGCACTGGGGGGGGGGGGGGTGTCCCTAAGCCCGGCCTGCGCCCTCTCGCAGTCAGACATCCCTCTCACAATCTGAGGCTCTCGTAGTCCAGGACCCCTTGCTCCTTACCACCCGCCTACAGCGGTGTTCCCCCTGTGGGAGAGCACAGATCACCAGGGGCAGTTCCTGCATTGAGCGTCTGCCCCCTGGTGGTCAGTGCACATCATAGTGACTGGTTGTTCTGCCGTTTGGTCAATTTGCATATTAGGATTTTATTATATAGGATTAGGTCAATATTTCCCCATCTCCTTCCCTCCCCTTCCCTCTGAGATTCTTCAGTCTGTTCCATGTTTCCATGTCTCTGGTTCTATTTTACCATCAGTTTATTTTGTTCATTTATCTTTTTTAAATATATTTTTATTGAATTCAGAGAGGAAGGGAGAAGGAGAGAGAGATAGAAACATCAATGACGTGAGAGAATCATTGATTGGCTGACTCCTGCACACCCGCTACTGGGTATCGGGTCTGCAACCCGGGCATGTGCCCTTGACTGGAATTGAAATCGGGACCCTTCAGTCCCTAGGCTGATACTCTATCCACTGAGCCAAACCAGCTAGGGCAGGTTATTTTGTTCATTTAGATTCCTTATTCATTTATTTTGATTTTTAGATACAATTGTGGATAGATATGTATTTACTGCCATTTTATTGTTCATATTTTTTGTCTTCTTCCTCTTCCTCTTCTTAAAGAATACCCTTCAACATTTCATGTAATACTGATTTGGTGGTGATGAACTCCTTTAGCTTTTTCTTATCTGGGAAGCTCTTTATCTGGCCTTGAATTCTAAATAATAGCGTTGCTGAGTAATCTTGGTTGTAGGTCCTTGCTATTCATCACTTGGAGTATTTCTTGCCACTCCCTTCTGGCCTGCATAGTTTCTGTTGAGAAATCAGCTGACAGTCTTATGGACACTCCCTTGTAGGTAATTAACTGCTTTTCTCTTCATTCTCTACTGTTGATTTCCTGTAAATTATTCTTCATTTCGGTTACTTTATCTCCTTCATTTCTGACTGGTTCTTTTTCATGTGTTTGAAATTCTCAATAAGATCCTTGAAAGTCTCACTAAGTCCCTTGAAACTCTCATTAAGGTCCTTGAGCAACCTTATAACCATTGTTTTGAACTCTGCATCCAGTAATTTGCTTGCTTCCATTTCATTTAGCTCATTTTTCTGGAGATTTCTTCTGTTCTTTCATTTGTGACATGTTTCTTTATCTCCACATTCTGGCTGCTTCCCTGTTTGTTTCTATTTATTAGGTAGAGCTGCTATATCTCTTGGAATTGACAGAGTAGCCTTGTGTAATAGGTGTCCTGTAGGGCCCAGTGGCTCAGCCTCCCCAGTAACTGAGCTGGGCATTTTAAGTGCTCCCCTGTGTGGGATGTGTGCACAGTCTTGTTGTAGTTGAGCTTTGACTGCTGTTGGTATCACTGGGAGGAATTGACCTCCAGGCCAATTGGCTGTGAGGACCAGCTATGACTAGAGTGGAAGAGCTGCTATCAGGAGACACTCCTATGAAGCAGGACTTGCTTCAGTGGGGCTTTGGTGCTCACTAAGTCTGCCCCTTGAATGTGTTGCTTATGAATGTGTAGCGTTATAATCTGGTATGGTCTGAAGCTGTCCACTGGGTGCACTGGCTCTGGAGCATCCCGGGAGGTGCAAAGTCAGCCACTGCTTGGGGCCACCCAGCAGGAGATACAGAGCTATCTGCAGATAGCTGCTACTTGTATTGGGCTTCGAAGTGCCCAGATGCAGCTAAGCTGTGAAGCAGGGAAGGCTGATGGTAGTGCCAGGTCTTGGGCCTCTTATTGATAAGTATGGGGCACACTGACACCAGCTGCTGCTTGTTTGACAGATTTTAGGGAAATATGAAGCCTAAGCCAGGACAGGCTATTCATATGGAAAAGCTTGAGTGGAGCTTCAAATTGGATGGGACAGAGTCTCAGGGAATCACCAGGGTGGAGCAAACAGTGTGAGCCAGGCTCATGGAAACTCAGATATGGCTGCCAGTCAGCTCTGCAATGGGGGAGGTCGAAGCATAGGAACAATGACCTCCCAGCGAGCACCACTGTCTGGGAGAAAGCTACCCCCAAATTCTTGCTCCGATGCCAGACAATCCAGTTCCTCCACGTATGTTCTTGATACCCTCCCTCCCCCCTTACCCCCCCTCCACTAAGCCATTGCCCCAGTACTGGAGCCCAGAGCAATCAAGTGTCAGTCAGTCAGTGTACTGGCCCTTTAAGAGGAACTGCCTGGGTCTCCACCAAATCACTTAACCACAGTCCCTGCTAGTTTTTACAGCCCCAAGTTACGGGGACTTCTCTTTCCAGCTCTGGAACCCTAGGCTGGGGTTCTGGTGTGGGGCTGGGACCCCTTTCTCCTTACGGGAGGCCTCCATAGTCAAGGTATCTATCCCAGTTTAAAAATTACCACACGTGGGTGTCGGACCAGTCAATTCCGTGCCTCTGCCCCATCCTACCAGTCTCAATGTGCTTTCTTCTTTACTTTTCTAGTTGTAGGACTTCCATTCAGCCAGATTTCAAGTGGTTCTGAATGATAGTTGTTCTGTATTTTAGTTGTCCACTTAAAAAAAAAATCCAGTGTTTCTTGAAATACTAGAAACCTTGGCAGGATTGGACCCCTATTCCCAAAAAATAACAACTATATCCTCCATCCTGATTATTTAAAAAAATGTACTTTCTGCCAAGATCTCTCTACTGAACTCCAGATACAAATGTCAACTTGATAGTCAAATGGATGTCAACAGACATATCAAAATTAACGTGTCCATAACAGAACTACTTCCTCACTAAATTAACTTATCCTTCTATACCTGTGAATAATATACTGTTTAATCTCTCTTAACATAAACCTGAGAACCATAATAGTCTTCTCTTTCTTCTTTACTCCAATTCCTTTACACCAAATACTATTGTAATATTCCATTTATCAAGAGTTCTCAAAAACTATCTTTTTTATCTCCATTTTCACTGCAGCATTAGTTGCTCTCCTAATACTGTGCTTATTTATTCAAATAACCACTGAAGTATATATTAGAGAAGAAAATAGGTTTCAAAATCAATGACTTTAGCTCGCACCTTAGAAAGTAGAAAAGAGCACATTAATCTAATGGCAAACAGAAAGAAAGAAAGAATGATGAGAGAAAAAATAAACAGAAAATAATAGGAAAAAAGTCAATAAAACCAAATACAGAAGATTTTTTTAAAAAATCAATACACCTCTAGCCAGATTTGTCAGAAAAAAAGAGAAAATACACAAATTTCCAATATCAGAAATAAGAAAATAGAGATTCTATAAATACTACAGTAATAAATAACTTTATAATAAGTTTGGCAAACTAGATGAAATGGACAATTTCTTTGAAAGACAGAGTACACCAAAGTTCATGCAAGAAGAAATAAAAAAAAACAGAATAGCTCTACATCTATTAAAGAAATTGAAATTTGATCATAGATCTAAATGTAAAATCTAAGATTATAAAACTTGTAAAAATAAACATAGGAGGAAAACTTTGTGACTTTTATTTATGCAAAGATTTCTTTAGTTTGACACCATGATAAATTTTACATCAAAAATATGTAAAGCTGTTCTTCGAAAGATACTACAAAGAATAAAATGACAAGCCAGCCAGGCCAATGTGTCTCAGTGGATTGAGCATCATCCCATGCACCAAGAAGTCACTGGTTTGATTCCAGGTCAAGACACATGCCCAGGTGGTGGGCTCAATCTCCAGTGTGGGGCAGGCAGGAGGCAGCTGATCAATGTTTCTCTCTCTCTGTAATCAATAAAAACATTTAAAAAAAAGACAAGCCAAAGACTGAGATATAAAGTTTGTAAATCATACATCTGATAAAAGCCTTCGAAATCTCAAACTCAATAAGAAAACAACCCAATTAAAAAATTGACAAAAGATTAGAATACTTCATAAAAGAATTCATAAAAATTCAAATAAACCCTTGCCTGTAGCTAGAGTGTTTAGAAAATGGGAGTTGACTGATTCCTCCATAGCCCACCGTCCTTATGTAGAGGATAGGTGAGGCACTAATACTGCCCTAGAACAAGGTGTAGAGAAAAGACAATGGTACGTTAAGGAGAACAGTATTTGTAAGACCTTTTCATGTACCCTCCTTGCCAAATGTGTCATGAAAGTGTCTGTAATATGTTGGACTGGCTTTTCTTTCATGTAAAAGAAAAGTATCCAAGTTAAGACGGTGGGTTCTGGAGTTAGACTACCTGGGTTCATAGCATGGTTCCAGTGTTTACTAACGGTGTGACCTTGGACAAGTTCCCTAACCTCCTGGTGCCTCACTTTCCTCATTTGAAAACATGCATTCATTCAATAAATGTTCATTAAGAAGTCCTCCCCCGAAAAAGTCTTATAACGAAAATGGAAAAACAGAAAAATGTATATAATACAATATCATTTGGGAACAAACCTTCCTAATTTTTTATTTTCCCACTAAGAGGTGAAGAATAGAAAAAAAGAAAGAAACTAAAATAAAAATGGTTAAGAATTAAAATTTTAAAACATGTCAACCACAGAGAAGAGATAATTAGAAGAGAATAGGATATAGTTTCAAAATTACATAGCAATTCAACTGGTTCTCTACATATAAATTATATTTATTCACTTGAGAAAAGAGGTTAAAGTGGAATCTACAGACTAGACTATTATGAATGACACTGTTGAAAATAGAGCTTAACAAGCCCAACTCATTATATAAGTGTATCAAATAAACACATTATAAATCTTAAACTTACACATTTATTATATGTCAGTTATGTCTCAATAAAAATAATTTTAAAAGTTAAATTTTAAAAAGCACAACTAGATTGTGATCTGCTAACAATGTCATGTCCTCTCAAAAGTCAGTCATGTTGACGTTAGGCTTATCAGATTTTCCAAAAAACAATATTTTGCTTATTCATTTTCATTCTACATTGGCAATATAGCTTTGTTAACTTTATAGTACTGCAACCATTACGTGAAACATAAGCCAATTCCTACAAATTTCGTCCAGTGAGAAATTATCATAGTGTTACTAAGATTTCCAACTAGACATTCTAAATAAAGTTTAAAACATTGTTCACCTTGCCTGGCTGGTGTGGTTCAGTGGTGGAGAATTGACCCATGAACCAAGAGGACACTAGTTGGATTCCCAGTCAGGGCACATGCCTGAGTTATGGGCTCAATCCCCAGTAGGGGGCATAAAGGAGGCAGTTGATTAATGTTTCTCACTCATCGATGTTTCTATCACTCTATCCTTTTCCCTTCCTCTCCCTAAAATCAATAAAAACATTTTTTAAAAATAAAAACGCCATTCACCTTGAATACAGAGTGGATAGAGCGTCGGCCTGCGGACTGAAGGGTCCCGGGTTCGATTCCGGTCAGGGGCATGTGCCTGGGTTGCGGGCACATCCCCAGTGGGGGATGTGCAGGAGGCAGCTGATCGATGTTTCTCTCTCATCGATGTTTCTAACTCTCTATCTCTCTCCCTTCCTCTCTGTAAAAAATCAATAAAATATATTTAATAAATAAATAAATAAATAAATAAAAACGCCATTCACCTTGAATACAGATCTCCTAATCAGAGTCTGTTATTGTGCAAAGGAGTCCAAATGTCCTCCAGCAGGAAAAATGATAGCAGCAATAATCAAAACCAAATTGTAATATGGCCACTAAGTTAAGTTTATTCAATCATGTGTATGATGAGTCAATTTTCCCATATATGCAGCTGTTTTCTAAATGACTTTCAAAGCAGCTTTAAAACATTCATTAGAGAGCTGCTATAGTGAAAGCTGGAACTCAGCAGAAGGTACCAATGGAAGGTAATAATTTTCATGTTTAAAGAGCACTATTCATTCCTGTTGCGAAGAATAAGAACCCCAGTACGCATGTAATAAATTAATATTTAAATGATTATTTTGTTAGAAAAAAACAATTACCTGTGAAACACCCAACTTTTTACAAGCATCAAGAAAATTTTCTACATTTCTTCGACATTTTGCCATGCTCAGTTTAGGCTGTAAAGTAAGAAAAAAAAAAAGGTGTATTTTCAGGCATATTTATCTTCCTTTAGAGAACTAAAAATTGTAGACAAATCTTACCACAGCTGGTGATGGCACATGAATACTAGCTACAGAGCGTGGCCTTATATGATTGGCTAAATGGCAAAGAACAACCCCATCCATCAGTGCAGCTCCAATGTCATCAGGCAAAATTACTTTCAACTTGGATTCGAGATTCTACAAAGAAATGGGTATAAATCACAGATATTCTACCTAAATGTCTTATATATTTATATTATAAATCATGATATAATCCAAAATTTTAAAGAGCATTGAAAAGAAAACCCATATATAAATTATTAATTTTTCAAGTTAAACCCATTCAAAGTAGATCTGAAAGGTCAATCTGACTCACATTGCGAAGTTGTCGTATTTGCTCTCTTTCTTCCCGTAAATGTTCCATCTTTCTTCTCATTGTAAATCCAGGATCTGCTGCCCCGTATTCTTGGCGAGATGAGCGGCTAAAAGCTATAAAAACAGAAATTTCCTAGCTTATTAAAAAGCTAATAAGAAGGATCAACCATCGGTAGGAAAAAGAGGCATGATAAAAAGAATCAATGCAGAATTACATAAAACGCTATTACTTATTAATACATTCTAAATAGATTTTACCAAATATAATTAAAATCTACTTATCTGCATAATTGAAAGCAACAGGGAAGACAAATGTAACGATTTCTACCACCTATATATGTTCTTATTTAAACAGACTATTACATTTTTAGAAACTTATGATCCAGGTCAAAAATTATTCAACATAAATCAGCCTTTATTATCTTTAAAGAAAAAGGAAATTATTCTTGAAGGTCAATACAGTTATTCAGGAATAAAAACTATAATTCAATACCTTGCCAAGTAACATGGATCCATTTTCTTTTGGGCTTGCCAAATGCGAAAAGATCCCTTTTTAAAACCACAATATAATGGTGTGCTATAATTTCAAACAGTGTTTGGTCTGCTGGCAGAGTGGTCATTCTAATAGCAGTCACAGAAGAGTAGAAATAAGACTGCAGTATATCTAAGGCAAAAAGCTGAGGTTTCAGGAGCTTGAAGGTAAAGAGGAAGAAAGAAATGGGGAATGGGAATTGGAAAGACAAATAAGGTTAAGAGAAAATTACTTTTAGGGGAGGGGAAAGAATCTATGTGTACTTAAAACTATGGAATCAAATCCCAGTTAAGTTTGGAAACTCTAGTTTCACATATAACCAATAAATTGTATATGCGGAATATATATTTACCTGATCTTGGCTTCAAGCCAAAAGGACCATGTGAAAAACCATCAGTTCTATCATATTCCTAAAAACAAAAAACAAATAAAACTTCTTTCAAAATAATTAAGACCGTTATTCATATCCATTTCAATTTTGAAAAGTATGTTTTTGCATGATTAGTGAAGCAGAAAAGGTCAAATGCATTTCAATTCAAATTGATAATTTCACTTTTAAAAGATGTATAAATATTTGCTAATTGACCTGATAACATAAGCCTTTAAATACTTCTCTCTCATAGTGTAAGTAAAATTAAAAATTAAATTACTGAATTGTATAAAATAAAGATACTACTTTTGAATAAATAACAAATTAATGTCTCCCCCCAAATGAAGTAAACATCAATGAAAAGATGAGTGAAATTAGCAACATTTACTCAGTATCCACCATGGACTTGACACTTAGTGGATAATATGAGGCAAATCTACACATTCATACTAACAGGAGTTGCAGAATGATAGATGATAAATTATTATGTCTTCTATTAGAATGTACATTGCTTCAAAGTGCTTTCACACAGTTACATGCTTGGAAAGAACTGTGGCATACTTTTAAAAATCTGAACTTGGAGTCAGAAAGCTTAAGCTAAGTCTTAAGCAAAACATTTAATTTCTGTGACTGTTTCTTCATCTTTAAAATGGGGTGTTGTGAAGATTAGCTGAGATAACTAAAAGGAAGCCCTTTGTAAATGTAAAGTGGTAAGATAAGGTCATTTTAGGAGCATCATATTTCATTTGTGCAACAACTGTGAAGTATATAGAGTCTGGGCTTCAGTCACTTCTCTACCATTTATTGACTGGAGTCTTTGGGCAAAGTTATCAGTCTCTTCAGCTATAAAATGATGAGGCTAATACCCAGCTCATAGGATTGCTCTTAAGTTCAAATGTATAGGCAAGCCTTTGTTAGTAGTAAAGTACTATACTAATATATCTTTTGTCATTTTCCTTTCACACATGAAATTGAAGCAACCAGAATTCTGCTGATTCTGTGTATTTTCTGATTAACATGTGATATACAGTTCAAGCTGAATGTCAGTTGAGCTACCAAAACACATGCTCACAAACCTCACAGTTTGCCTTCATTCTTTTGGTTAAAATATTATGAATTCCCAGACAAAATTTTATTTATCCAAATGCAAGCAAAATGTATTATGTAAACAATATGATTTACTTGAGAAAACTGGCACTAATACTCTGCCTGTAAGCACTGATCATAAAATCACAAAGCAATCAGGCAAATAAGTAGTCACTTATATGCTTACATTTGTTATAACTGAAAGTAAAAGACTTACAAAAGCATATGACAAAGACTAATTTTAGGATATCCTAATTTAAATTATTTTCCAAAACAATGTAAATCATTTTACCTATCATATAAATAATTTAGAAACATGTTTATAAAATTAATGTCCAAGTCTATTTAAAAGTTTTACAATTCAACTCATCCAAAACAACAAATAATCCTAGCTTTAAAAAATATTCAACACTAACTATATAAAAAAAATACTACCTAATTAACCAAAGTTATATGGTGAATTTGGATCATCCAAACATTTAGACAGAGTCCTGAATTCACCAAATGAGTGCATGATCATTTATTTACTAATGTCAAAACATGTTTAGAAGACTAAATAAAGTAATCTGAAGTAGAAGAGATACTGTTTGGAATTTTAAAAACTTGCATCTTGTTGCAAAGCAATAGGTTTAGCTAAATTAGAATCAACCATTCAAACCACCAGAGTATTTGGTTGAGATCTCACAAACTTTCATCTGCCCATCCTCCCCATGCAACCCAGTCTATGATGCTAGGAAATGTGTATCCTCCTGTCGATAGGAACAACCCACTGCAGGGATGTTTCTCGTGGAAAAAGGAAGTTTCTCTTGCATTGCTTTCAGACCTAATTGGCTATGAGAAAAACCAAAGGTCATTGCACAATGCTACAGTACTTTGCAAATTTAAAACTTTAAAGTTGTTTCTATAATTTATTTCAAAATATGGATTAATTATACAAAATAAAAATTGTATATATCGAATGCTTTTCTCTGATCCATAAGCATTTCCCTATGAGTAGCTTATTATATTTATTATGAATATTTATACAAAAATATGGTGGTGCTCTTAGAATTCTTTATAGGCTAGGTTTGTACAAATTAACCTAGATGGCTTTCTAAATTATGGGTGAATAAATTACATTGTAAAAAAAAAAAAGATGAGGTTAGAGAGAAGAGACAAGAAAGAAACTTATGTACACATATAAAAACAGAACTTGTACCTCAGATGATACTGGAGATTGTGGTGACATGTTAGCATTATCACTGTCTTGCTAAAATATAAAAATAAAAAGATGAAAAATGAAATTAAAACATGAATGATAATTTAGACATATAAAAAGAAAACTGAAAATTGATCAACTGCTACAGAAAATCTGGAAAATACGGTCTACCACCTTACTACTCCAAGTGTGGTCTCTGAACCAGCAGCAGCCGCATCCTCTGAGAACTTGTTAGAAAGGCAGAATCTCAGGCCTCACCCAAGACCTACTTAATTAGAATCTGTATTTCAATGAAGTGATTCATAAGCACTTTAAAGTTTTAGAAGTGCTATCCACTCACATAATATTTCCTATAAATTTATTTCCTTTATATATCACAAAAGAAAAACCTTTTCATATTTCTTAGAAAAGATCCATATGTTAAGATAAATTTCTGATGGAAAATGGCATTAATATGTTACAATCCAAGGCAAGTGCATGAAGACATGCAAAAATTCCATCACCCCAAATAAAAACATTTACCTGGAAAAATATGTGTAGCTAATATAGGCTTAAAAATAATCACAAAGAATTTAATTGCATAAAGTAATATTAAGTAGCCCATGTTTTTTGCATGACTACTACCAACCAAATACAAAAATCTTAACATTTAATCTTGAATACGCACACCACACAGGACATTTATTCACCATTCAACAAATGATTACTGACTACTTACTATATGTCAGGTACTGTGCTAGACATTAGAAATACAGAAATTTAGTAAAATCATCCACTCAAGGATCTCTCAGTCTAGAGGGAAAATAGATTCAGTCATATAGGTAATACAACCTTCTCTCAGTAAAACGAAAGAGCTTTGAATGGCATATTTTGAGGCACAGATAAGGGGCAATTGGAGAGATGGCGGCTGTGGTTGAGAAAGGCACATTTCCTGAGTAACAATAAGAACTGAGTAGGTGTTTACCAGAAAAAGAAAAGAACAGCATTCCAAGAGGAGAGGACAAAACAAAGACACAGAAGCAATGAATGAAGAGTGCAGAAAGCTTTTGAGCAGTTCCCTATTTCTGGAGAGTAAGGTGAAAGGAGGGCAAATCGGGATTTGAGGCTGATATAAGCAGGGTCTTGACTAAGGACTTAGAATTTACCCTCTAAGTGATGGGGAGACATTGAAGCTTTCTAAGCAAGGGAATGCCCTGATCATATTTGTGTTCTTGAAACCATCATTGTGGCTGCAGTGAGAAAGGACTGGAGGAGCAAGGGACAGGTGAGCAAGGATGCTAATGCAGTAGTAAAGGCAAGAAATGATGAGGGCCTGTGCCAGGACAGAAAGAGCAGATGTGCAGGTGGGGGATGTATTCAAAATATTTCAGTATAAAAAAAGTATGTCTTGATAACTGATTAGATATTGAGGCAGGCAGGACAAAGTGGATAAAAAATATAAAGGGACAGGGAGAACAGCCAAGCTGAATCACTAGAATTCAGCGTTCAGCAAACGTTTTCTGTGTGATTCCATTTCATAAAATTAAAGGAGTTTTCAGAAGCCCTGCCAAGAACCAACATGAAATTAACTACCAATACCTCCAAACCAAATACACAAAGCTTAAGTATCTATGCAATGAGACTATCATTTGAAAAATTCTAGGCTGCTGCATAGCTTAAAATGGTGGGGTAAAAAAATTTATAGTAATGCACAAACTGTAGAAATCTACTAGTAAGTTTAAATGTAAAACAGAACACAGAATTTGTGGAAAGAGATTAATAAATTCCAAACAAAGCTCAATTGACCACTAGGTTGATTTAGGAAAATGTAAAAATTTTGAATTCCTGAATTTCAATTTCAAGATGAATGTTAGAATTCTAAAATTAAACTATTGGAATTACAGGAATTATTGGACATACAGATATTATATGATTAAATTAGTACTTATATGATGATGCTCAGTTTTTATTACTGGAGAAAACCCAGGCATTAAATCATTACAAAGACACTGAAAGATGGATTACATTTTACTCAGACTGAGCCAACTACAATATGAAAAGTAAACATTTCAAAAACTTGGTAATATTACCCTCTTTTCTCACCTCATCATTTTCATTGCCACTTGAACTCTTCCTTGATGATTTATACTGAAAAATATTTAAAACACATACTTTAATTTTCCTTGAACATGGGAATTCTCTACTAGTAAATTATATGTGAGGTTTATTCATATTTTGCTATTTTTATTAAATTATGTGATATTAAGTTTAATTACATAACCAGTTTAAATGGTCCTACTACTTACTAATAGCTAACACATACAGTACTTTCTATGTGCAAGGCAATGTTTTAAGTATTTTATGTATATCAAGTAACAATTCCTCCCTAAACCAATCCATTTTTCATTCATTCAGTTTTTCAACCCGAGGGTTGTCTTAAATCCTCTTTTTTCTTAATCCACTAAGTCATCATGTCACTTGTTTTTATCTCAGACTTACTTTTGAATTCTCACAACTATTACCCTATTCTAGCCCCCATTATCTCATATTTAGTCTGTAATCTCACCATTTGAAAACATCATCTATTATCAAGAAACCTACTGATTTCAGGTAAAAAAACAAAACACCACCACTACATTAAATGTATATATTGAGTATATAATAATAGTAATAGTGATAATAGCTAACACTATGCCAGCACTTACTATATACCAGGCACTAATTGAAATGTCTTACATGTCAGACACTGATTAATGTGTGTTACACTTATTAACCCACTTAATTTTAGTAACAACTCTGAGGTAAATACTATTGTCTTCATTTTAAACTTAGGCATAGAGGTGATATGGTCAATACCAAAAAATGCTAGTATGTGAAAAGTGCTTCTTAGAATCACGGATATACAAGTATGACAACCACTAGTGCAGTGGTTCTCAACCTTCCTAATGCTGCGACCCTTTAATACAGTTCCTCATGTTGTGGTGACCCTCAATTTCATTGTTACAAATTGAACATAATTAAAGCATGGTAATTAATCACAAAAACAATATGTAATTATATATGTGTTTTCCGATGGTCTTAGGCGACCCCTGTGAAAGGGTCGTTCGACCCCCCACAAAGGGGTCGCGACCCACAGGTTGACAACCACTACTGTGTTCTTACTTCTGATTCCTCACCACCACAAATAATCTTGCAAATCAGTGCAGATTAACCTTCTCCAAACACTACTTGTAACTCATGTCTCTTCTGTTGGAAAACCCTACTAACTTCTGGATTATGTCCAAATTACTTTGCCTGGCATTCGAGGTTGTATTTAATGGCCCCATTGACTTATGCAGCTTTATCTTCTATAATTCTCCAAAAAACAGATAGCCCACCTGGTAGCTCAACCACAAATTGGGGGCTGAGCAGTATTGGGGGTTACAAATACAAACCTCCTCTGTCTCCACTGTCTCTCTTGTGATTTCTATCAGGGTACTTGCTCTTTCCAGCTGATCCCAGACAAAGCTACAATATGTTTTCCATCCAATGTTCCAGAATGCCACTGAATGGAGTCTGCAATGTGTGAATAAATCCATTTGCTACCCCAAGGTATGATCCCCACTCATGTCACTTATTCTTGGTTTTATTCTACTCCAACAAAACAATGACATTTGGACAGCAGACAATAGGACTCCAAGATGGCATCAGTCATACCGGCAAAGAAGAAACCCATGGATGTCAAAATAAGGGAGCTGCCAAGCTGGAAACTGATGCAGGATTTTACCCCGAAAGGCACTGTTGGAGTGTTTCTAAGAGGTTACTATCAATTGGTATTGCAAGTATGTCAATATGAAGAAAAGGAGCATTACTGAGGTTTTCTATTATGCTGGCAGCTTAGGTACTTTTCCACTACTGCCTTTCTTACAAGGAGCTCAACAGCGAGCATCTACTCAAGTATCACAGAAGAAGGCCCAGTGTGGAGGGCAGAGTCTGCATTCCTGACCATGGCTTTTTTTGCTGGGCACCCCTGATCTCTGCTAAATGCTTTCATATTCTAATTGAGAATTAACATCCAATAATAGATGATTAATACAAAACAAAATAAAACAAAACAAAGGGACATTTGAGTGAATAAGCTAATATTTATGAAGTGTATACTCTGTGGCAAGTGCTACTCTAAGCACTTTACATTAAATTATTCAATAGTTATAACAATCCTGTAAAAAAAAAGATACTATTCTAGAAGCCCAGGTTCTTAACCACCATGCTATATGCTTCCATCTCTAAATCCTGAATAATTAGTAGAAATTTACCAGAAATGAAAGGGCTAATGGGATTCCCAGAAAAAGAAAAGCACAAAGAAATAAAAAAGCTCAGCCTCTGCAGAAAACAAAGTAATGTGACTAACGAGGGAAGTGAATTGTGACAGGAAATAAAACCTGTATGGCCCATGAAATTTTAAAGCTGTCCAAACTTTACGTTATTAATAATGGGAGCCAATAAAGAAATTTAAGTCAGGAATCTCTCAAAAGCTGTGAAACTAGAGAAGGGAGGGAGCATTAAGAAGTTATTACATCTAACTATTTTTTAAAAAAGAAGTTATTGTAATTACCCAGACACAGAAGAAAAATGAGGATTTCAACAAAAGCCAGGGTAACTGAGATGGAGAAGAGGTGATGAATTGGAAAAAAAAAGATGTTCAATTAACATCCCGGTGACCAATTAGGCGAGGGGATGAGAGAGGGAAAGATGAGGAGGACTGAGGTATAAAGCTTAGACAATAAAGCAGATAACACTACCACTAACAAAAATAAAGAATAAAGCCCAGCCGGCATGGCTCAGTGGTTGAGCGTTGACCTATGAACCAGGAGGTCAAGGTTCATTCCCAGCCAAGGCACATGCCTAGGTGGCGGGCTCCATCCCCGGTGTGGGGCGTGCAGGATGCAGTCAATCGATTTTTCTCTCTCATCATTGATGTTTCTACCTCTCTCCCTCTCCCTTCCTCTCTGTAATCAATAAAAATATATATTTTAAAAAAGAACAGAAAGGAGCAGACCTGGCTGGTGTGGCTCAGTTGGTTGGGCATGGTCACGTGCAATGATAGGTTGTGGGTTAGATTCCCCATCAGGGCACATGCCCAGGTTGCAGGCTTGATCCCATAGCGGATATGAAGGAAGCAGCCAGTCGATGTTTTGGCTTTGTTTTTTGGTTTTCTCTCCTCTCTCTCTCTCTCTCTCTCTCCCTCCCTCCCTCTCCCTTCCTCTCTCTAAAAGTCGATAAAAATATATATTTTTTATTTTTTTTAAAATAGGATAGAAAGGAGGAGCAAGTTCCATGATGAAGGGCCAGGAAGGTGAGACATACTGAATGTGAAATACGCGTAGGGCACCAAGACAATTAGAAACAAAGGTTTGGAGACCAGAAGAAGTTCAGACCCAGATGAATATAAGAAACATCTGGAGTCATAAAAGTTTCACAGAGTTTTTAGAGTAATAAAAAAAGAATGAGACCTTAAAGAGCAAGCAGAAGGAAAGTTAGATAAGAACATCAAAAAGAAAAGACAAATCAGGGAAGAATAATGTGAGGTACAAACCAAGAAAGGAGTTTCAAAAAGAAGGATGTGGTCATCACTGTCAAATGCTACACTGGATTTTGCCTTTAGTAGGTTAATGTGAAGAGATATGGCAGTAGCTGAAAGGGGAATCTGGGATAATGGTAGAGATCTGAGATTATTTCTGAGACGGAAGGTAGTAAAAAGGACATAGAAAAATGAGCGGATAATTGATAATGGAAAGAAACAGAGGATGATGCAGTCAATAACTTAAATAACAAGACTTTTATTATTGTTACTTAACTACTATTCTAATTTAAAATGCCTGTTATACATGAAAACTTAGAAAGACGCTACTAAGTTGTCATTACTGTACATATTTAAAGGTCCAAAACCTAATATATACATAGCTTTGAAAATATTCTATAAGGCTAACTTTTTACTAATTCTACTCAGCTGTCCTCGGTTAATATTAGTCTGAATAACTGAAGTTTTATTACAGCCAAACTTAAAAACCACAATAAAGGCCTGTTCAGAAACAGGACGGTCAGTTCATCTCTGAAGCTTACATTAATTTCACAGGAAAGATAGTAAGTGTGCACAAACTCTGACTCAGAATAAAGCAGATTATTTCACAAGCCCACTTGGCTTCCTTATTCCATTATAAAAGTAACTATGATCATAAATATATATATGTGTATATATACATATATATATAGTTAGTCTTTAAAGTAAAATATTATACTATATTTATGAAATTAGATGTATTTTATGAGTCACTATAATGTTTTGTCACAATGAGAGTAGGGAAGGACATGTAATGAGAATAGAGCCACAGTTGTCCAATACTCACCTCACTAACTACAGATAAGTTTTCTTACAGACCCTGGGAAAATGGAGGATGAAACAAGGCTGTAAAAAGATAAGATGCCTCAATGGTTCCATTACTCCAAAAAGAAATACATTTTTGAACACAGGACACCCTTTGTTTGGTTGCTGCATCTGGACCCTGACCCCCTCCAGGAGTTTTTCTCAGGAACGCTGACCATTCTCCAGTCCCAGGAACGGGCTGAGCTGTGTGTAGGAAGATTAGCCACCTTGTTTTCAGACTCTGAGCTCCTGAAGGCCGGACTATAGGCTCTACCCTTCCCTTTCCATGTTACACTTGCAGCTCGCACCTGCACGTAGCTATCTTCTCCCTCGTGTGTGTATATAACCAGCCAACTGGCAAGGGAGGGTCAGAGCTGAATTTCCAAGGTGCCTGACTGCTCTCCCAGATTGCTGGCAGTATTAGAATAAAAGCTCATATATGATTCAACCCTGTCTCTGCTTAATTGGCTCAAGTGGTGACAGGCAGCCCAGACCCCTTGGTTGTCCGGTTACATAATTTGGCGACTCTGCCGGGACCTCCAGCGGGATTTCTTCTGAGGTGAGTACTGGCGATCCTGCTTGCTGCGGGGACTGGGGGGTTCCTGGGGCTGAAATCGGGACTTTTTTACTTGCAACGCTGTCAGGAAGTTTCCTGTGGAGTCCACTGTCAGCTCCAGCAATCCTCGTCCTCCCACCTAAGTTGAATCACGCATTTTTTGTAAGAGAGCAAGAGGAATCAAGTGTG